CAAACAAAGTGCTGACACAATCAAACAGAGGTAGCCTTTCAAGTTGCTGAGGTAGACCTTCATGTAGTTGGACAGCAAGAGACAAACATGTTTCCAGGGATGATCTATCTTGAGAGCCAGAACTCCCAAAAAGCCAAAAGCCATTCCGAGTTTCATACTAGGTTGAAACGCTTTCCAGAATTCATCTTTGTCTTGTTGATTGTATTTGACACCATCATCTATCAATTTTTCATCACCTGGGCATGATGGTGTTAGAGGCGGTCCACAAAGTGTAGGATTACCAGCGAATGCAGAAGCATTAAAGGTGTCCATTTGAGTGCTGGTTGGAATTCTCCCAGAAAAGTTGTTATACGATAAGTCCAGCTTACTGAGAGAATATAATTGGGACATGCTTAGAGGAAGCCGGCCTGAAAGCCTGTTGTGTGAAAGATCAAGCGATTCCAACTGTCTTATCTGCCCTATATCTGGTGGAATTCTTCCAATCAAATGGTTTCTTGATAAATTCAATTGATGCATTTCAAAAAGACTCGAAATTTGGACTGGAATTTCTCCTGTTAAGTTGTTGCTTGAAAGATCAATTGTCCTCTGAAGTGTGAGATTTTCATAATGATACTCTATTCCTTTCCATATAACAGATGCTTTGTCAGCATAGCTCCCATAGGTAGAACTAACATGAGAATAGTTAAAGAAATGACCTCGGGCTGCAATGTCTTTTCTGGCCAAGGCAGTCAAATTACCAATGCATCGTGGTATGTGTCCAGAGAGACTATTGTTAGAGAGGTCCAACAACAGAATATTTGTCAACTGACATGTTTCCAAAGGGATTTCTCCAATAAAATAATTGGATTTTAGAAGAAGGAAATTTAGTGAATTTAACCTTTCTCCAATCCAACTTGGTATTATTCCAGACAATCTATTATTACTCAAACCCAGAAATTGCAATTTACTGCAGTTCCTTAAAGAGCCAGGAATTTTCCCAGAGAGGCTGTTGTTTTGCAAATCAAACGTTTCAATCAATGTGAGAGATCCCACAAAGCTCGGAATTTTTCCAAAGAAATGATTGTTAGCCAAATTTAGAATCCGTAGGCTTGACCAACGCATCATACAATCAGGAAGCTCTCCAAATAGTTGATTCCTTGAAAGATCTAGGAACTCAAGGGACATATCAGTCATGGCACAGAGGGAAGAAATTGACCCATTAAAACTATTTTTTGAGAGGTTTATGTGCGTGGTATTACCAGGAAATGATGGCAATGGACCCTCCAAATGATTTCCACTTGTATCTATCCCTAGGTCATAAGAATCAGATGAAAAATTCCTTGAGAAATCTGGAAGAATTCCCCTGATTTGGTTGGAAGAAAGATCTAAACCTCGTGCTGTAGAAGGTAAGTTACCAAACCAGATAGGGATGCTATCTGAAATTCCAGTTGCAGAAATATTAAGATATTTATAGCTCCTTTGGGTCTGTAACCAGCTTGGAAAATCAGGTCCCAACTTGCAAGACCCTAAAAGAATGTATTTCAACTGGAATGGAGGAATCCAGTCACAGCTAAAGTTGATGCTCAGATGATTAGAAGATAAGTCTAACCCCCATAAATTAGATAGTGTTGAGAAGTGTTCCTCAGTGATCACCCCATTAAAAGAATTGAAAGAAATAGATAAGGCCTCAAGCTTTGACAGCAATCCGATACTTTTGGGTATATTACCACTCAGTTTATTTTTTGAAAGCAACAAGTATCGCAATGATGACAAGTTACCACTCCAAAAGGATTTTGGAATCTCCCCCTCAAACTGATTATCATTGAGATATAACTCTTCCAGAGGAGTCATGTGACCAAAAGTTTCTGGAATTGGACCTCGAAATTGATTAGAACTCAAGTCGAGACTAACAAGGCTGTTGCTAAAGTTGAACAACCACAGGAATGCAGAAGTAGTCAAATTGTTGCTTCCTAGACCAAGTTGAATAAGAGGAGTACTAGAAGTATTAATTATGGGGAAATACTGGGGAATGACATCTCGAAGGTTACATCTATATAGAGACAGGTTAGTTAGATGATGGAGCTTATTAATTACTTGCAGCCCATCCTTGTTGACCTTACTAAGGTCGATATCACTCAGACCAAGGTATTGCAAGTGAAAAAGACGAGAGAGCCACTCAAGATTTTTGACACTGTTGAAATTGTTATAGCCAAGATCAAGGTACTGTAGACTTGCAAGGTTTGCATTTTGCAAGCTGACTAGGAAGAGATCCACTTAAATTACAATTATAGAGATCAAGATGTTTTATTTTGTTAAGTGAACTGATAGACTTTGGAATGTGACTTAAGTTGAAATTATTCCCACTGAGGCCTAAAAAAATCAAATGCTGCAACTTAAAGAGAGAAGGACTAAGGTTACCTCTTAAGATAAAATGACGGTCATACGAATATGTGGTTAGATTAAGCATAGTGATGTGCCCAGTTTTGTTGCTACATTGAACTCCTTCCCATTCACAGCAATTCTTTTTCTCTTCTTCACTGCCCCATGATGAAAGCCTCCCATGTTCATCAACCAGGCCTTGCTTAAATGCAAGAAGAGCTTGTCTTTCGCTCTCTATGCACTTAACTCCATCATCAGTTGTTGTTGAATTGGATCCAATTGAAGTTTGCATATGTAGTAAAACCAGGAGTGCATAGATAAGATGAAGGGACCCTGCACCCAGAATCTTCATTTTGAAAGTGATGAAAAATAAAATCAAAGATGAAGGTGAACCAAAATGAAAGAGAGTATCAGGGAAACATCGTAGACATGTAACTAAGGTTTTTTTTGGTAATGTTTGATGGGTTCTCAAAAGCATTCTAGCTATTTATATAGAACTTCAGCAAAACATATTAAAGGTTGTAGAAGGTCAAATCAAAGAATATTAATTTACCGTAGGTAGAAGGAGAAGATTCAAGGAAGATACCAGTATAGGTAATATGATTTGTGTGAAATGATTATGTTGCACTCTTGGGCGAATTATTTGGACTATGATTTAATGCACCCTACAATCTAGGTTTAATTATGATTAAACGCACCATTCAATTTTAAGTTTTTTTTTTTTCTTTTTCTTTTTACTGTTTAGCATAAACAAAAATTTAAAGCTAAGATAGTCCTTTTTTTATTATTTATTTAATTTCTCATCTTTTCCACTTGCTAAAATCACTCTCATCATCTCATGTCATTTTTTTGTGGTGAATGGTGCGCAAGTATTGTAAGGAACGCCGATGGAAGGAGAGAAATAATGGGAAAGAATTCATGTAAGTTGGCGGGTTCATTTCACTAAACTTAATCTAATATTAGTTTTTCATTCCTTACAAGCTAAATGCTGGAATCAAACAGGCAAAACACCAAAATGATAGAATAAAACACACATAAATTATAATTTAGCACACAGAAATCAGAATTCAGATTGTAGTCCTATCT